TTGTCTCATTGATCTGTCCATTGGTGAGAGTGGGGTGTTGAAGTCTCCTACTATATATGTATTTTCTTTAATATCTGTTTTCAGAGCTGATAATAATTGTCTAATATATTTTGGTGCCCCTTCATTTGGTGAGTATATGTTGATGAGTGTTATATCTTGCTGATGTATTGTCCCCTTGATCATAATGTAGTGTCCCTCTATGTCTCTTTTTACTTTTTTTAATTTGAAGTCTATTTCATCTGATATAAGTATGGCTGTTCCTGTCCTCTTTTTTGGTCCATTTGCTTGTAGGATTGTTTTCTACCCTTTTACTTTCAGTCTGTGTTTATCTTTTGTGGTTAAATGTGTTTCCTGGAGACAGCAGAAGATTGGATTTTGTTTTTTAATTCAGCCTGCTACTCTGTGTCTTTTTACTGATGAGTTTAATCCATTTACATTTAGAGTTAATATTGATATGTTGGCATCTGTGTTTGCCATTTTTTTGTCTTCTTTGTAATTTTATTCCTTGCTTTTTTCTGTTCTTCTTGTTCATTCCTCTGTTGTTTTGGCTTTAGGACTTCTCGTAGAATTTTTTGGAGTGGGGGTTTAGTTGTAATGAATTTCTTGAGTTTCTGTTTGTCTGAGAAGGTCCATATTTTTTCTTCGTAGAGGAAGGAGAGCTTTGCAGGGTAAGGTATTCTCGGTTGGTATTTGCTGTCTTGAAGATTGCTGAATATGTTACTCCATTCTCTTCTTGCCCGTAATGTTTCTTCAGAGAAGTCAGAAGTTAACCTGATTGGTTTTCCCTTATAAATTATCTGTTTCTTCCCCCTTGCCAGTTTCATTATTTTTTCCTTGTCTTGGACTGTTACAAGCTTTACTATTCGGTGTCTTACCGTAGTTTCCTTTTCATTATAGTAATTGGGAGTTCTCGTTTCCTGTATGTCTATATTCATCTCCATTATCATGCTTGGGAAGTTCTCTTCAATTATCTCCTTGAATAATTTCTCAGTTCCTTTGTCTCTCTCCTCACCTTCTGGAATGCCTATAACTCTTACATTTCCTCTCTTCATGGAGTCTGATAATTGTCTAAGAGTCTCCTCATACAGCTTTATTTGCACTTCTCTCTCCCTTACTGTTTTGGCTCTTTTTATTTCTGTATCTTGATAGTACTGATCTGTTCTTCCATTTCATCGATTCTGTTTCATTGCTTTTCCCAGAGTTCTTTATCTCCTCTAGTAATCTTTTTATCTCCTGTGTTTCTTTTCTTTTTTTTCTTAAAGTCTCAATTTTATTCTTTAGTTCATTGATTATTTGCCTCAAATCATTTTTTCCTTTTTATTTTCTTTCTGCTTTTTAATCAGGATGATTATTAATTCTCTATCTGATAGGCCGAGAAGTTCTTGCATGTCATTGTTGAGCTCTGGTAACTGTATTTCTTCTTGTGGTGTCCTTCTCCTACTGGCTTGCTTGGTTATTTATATTTTTTCTTCTCCCTGTTGTTTGCTTTCTAATTAGTTCTATGCATTGGGATGCTGTGCCACTGGTGTTGGCGGGCATCTTTAGGGGTGTTGGAAACTGTTTGCAAGACTGAGACCAGCACTGGTAGGCCAAAACTCTACCAGGGTGCTGATGTTGTGTTGCTGGGCTCTGTCACCTACAGTTCCCTCCCTCTGTATTTACTCAGTTCCAACAGGGAAACAGCTAGTTGGTGATTTAGTTCTGGTCACAGGTGGCGCTAGAGACCCTAACTTGCTGACCTGTGCTTTTTCCCAGTGGTTCTCTGAGTAGCGAAGGGGTGTTGCCCATCTTCCTGGTGCTCTGTGATTACCTGTACCATCACTACTTGTTTGTTCTGAGGGCTAGTCATGTGGTGGTTCTGAGTGTCCTTCTGGAGTGCAGTTCCTGTTTCCCCAAGTGTGTGTTGAGCTGAACCCTTCATGGATGTAGCATCTGGTGCTGTATCTGGGTGAACTGTGGATAGGGCTATCATTCCTCCCAGACACTGGGACTTAGGATTTGACACCAAGCCCCGACTCAGGTGTGTTCAGGGTTTGGTGCTATGGGTGCACCTTGTCCCGTGGCTGCCCGGTATAGCTGCAGGATGTGCATTGCAGTCTATGTTGGCTGCTGCATGGTGCCCGCTAGGTGCAGCCATGTGCGGTGCCAGCTGCCAGCTGCATGGTCACGAGGGAGGCTTGATGGTTTGGCATGAGCCACTTGCTGGTAGGTTTGCTGCAAGTGCTTTGGGGCTACTGGGCATGTGGAAGGGTGGCTGCAACACTGGCACTGCCTCCCTGTGGCTGTGGGCTGTGGGTGTGGCATGGACCAAGAGGTAGGCTTTGTGGTGTGACTGGTGCCTCTCACCCTGGTGGTGTGTGGTGTGCGGGCTGGGCACACTGGTCTGCAGGAGGCATCTCTGATGGCTGCTGTGGTGAAGGTGTGGGAGCAGGAGGCTGTGCCCACCTGCTGTAGACTTGCTTGTTGGGACAGAAAACACACCCAGGCTGAAGGGGTGCAGTGTCTCAGTCTCTGGCATGTGGGGAAGCACAGGCTGTGGTGGGGTCCACTACTAGATGGCACATGGGAGATAGAGTGAATCTGTTAGCATACAGGAGGTTGTTATCAGGGCCAGATCTGCTTGTCTGCCAGGTGTGAACCCCGTGATGGTGGCTCCTTGGCTCCCAGTCAGCTAGGTCATTTGGGTGGGCAGAGCCCTCATGAGGGACTTGCCTTCAGGGTCTGGTGTGTGAAGGGTGGGATCCAGGAAGGCACCAGCTACAATTATCAGCAGTGTTGCAGGAGGTTGCCACGATGGTACCCGTGGTGACCCTGGATTACATTTTCAAATTCCTGTTCTCCCTGACCCCGGCTGTAAGGTGGTATTAGGGTCAAATGTTATCACCAGCATGTCCAATGGCATCCAGACTGGTGTGATTACTTTTGTAGGGTAAATGAATTTCAGGCTTTTCAGGCCACTAGCCTCTGTGGCTCTCATCTGTGACCTTGATCCTGTTGGCGCAGAAGGCGCTTGGGCACATCAGGAGGGGCATAACTGCCTGATTGTGGGCACCTGGAGAAGGGGTGTGACACGCAGCCATCAGTGTGCACACCTGGCCTAGAGGTCAGGGCTATGAGGGTGGCATCATTCAGAGAAGGACGGCACTACGGGGAGACCTGCAAGGCTACAGAGGGAACAAGAGAGAATGCCAGTGGGGCCCAGAGAAAAGCAAGCTCAGAGATTCCTAGGGATTGGGGGGCTTGTAGCCTCCTGGCCCCACAGTCCCCCTGCCCGCCCTGGACATGGTTGGCCACTGCACTTTGAATCCCAGGCTCAAAGTCAGTCTGGTCACAGGTCTCCAGGGCTCAATCCTTGTCTCAGTTTTCTCCTTGGTTCCTGTGCTCACTGTGTGGCCTCAGTGCAGCAGCTTCAGGTGCTTGTCTTCATGTTTTAATCCAGACTTGCAGAGCCGGAGCCAGGCACACACACACATCTGCATGGAGCATCTTCAGTGTAAGTTTTGGGAAAAGTCCTGCAAGGATCCCTGTGCTCCACACTGCTCAGCAGTCACCTTCCCAGGACAAGAGCTGCCTGTGGTCTCCTCCTGCCCCTGCCCCTGTCATAACCATGACCATGAGAATCACATCTCATGGGCACTTGGTCTCCGTCTGACCTGGGGTTGGCAGTGGCAGCTCCCTCCCTGCTTGGGCACAGGACAGAGAATGACCTTCACCTGCCTCCCATTTACATTCTCATCATAACGTCTACATCCATAGGAGGCTCCTGTGTCACTTTATTCCAAATTATAACCCACAAACCCCTGGTGGCGTGGATGTGTGAGATGTACGTGGAGTGTGACACATGTCCCTGCAGTCCCCTGACGCCCTCTCCTACAGTGGAAGGACTGCAGGAAACCCCCACTGGAGGGGTGCATGGACACCTTGTTTGGGACACAGTGACTATAAAATTTCAGTCAGAATAACTGGTCACTGGAGTGGGGAGAGGGGGAGGGTCCCTTTACCCCATGACTGTGCCATCCTGGTGTCAGGGTTCCCTGCAGGACTGAGCCCTGATGTCCATCTTGGGCTCTCCTCCCCTGCTCCCTGCCCACGCCTCCCCAGCCCCTGCACCCATCCTCTCCTGCCCACTTAGGAGTCACCCAGGCCCAGGCAGTCCCCAGACTCCCTCAGAGATATAACCTTGTGAGACAGTCAACAGAGGTCTGGCCTGATGCCCTCTGACCCAGCTAAGGTCAAGGCTGGGACCAGGGACACAATCACTATGTCTGCTGTGGAAAATAATGTGTGTCCAGTGACCTGCTCCCCACCTAACCAAGTACATTTGATGTGGGTCCCTCACAAGGTTGAGACACGGTGGGTCTACATTTCTACCATGAGCATCCACTCTCCCCCATCCCTGCTGCTGGGCTCCCTTGATGTGTCCTGGTCAGTCCTACAAAGTCCTGTGGTGGATGTGGAGTCATTTTCCGCATCACAAGCTGATAATCTACCCCATTAGAGATGCCAATGAGCCCCAATTCTCCTGCTGCACACCTCCTCACAGGCTCTTTGATGCCCAACTAGTCCCCAGTCTGGACCCTCCATGGGGCTCAGAACTCTCTGTCCAGCCTCCCTCTGAGTCAGATGTTTTCTGGTGAACTCAGTCCTGACAGGAATCCTGCTCTCTCCATGGGAACCAGGAGGCAGGACACTCCCTGCAGACAATTCGCTGAAACTCTGAGTGTCCACACTCTTCTCTGAGCAGAGCCCATGCTGTGGGCACAGGGCTGTGAGCCCTGGGGTATGGTTATTGTGCCCACCCTCTCTCAGAGTCAGGATCCTTCTTGTCTCTCCCAGCATCACCCCACGGGCCTGAGGGAGGACACAGATGCTGTGTTGTCCAAATGACCTCAGTGATGACCCATGTCCCTCACTGTCCTGGTGTCTGGGAGGAGGTCAGAGCCACAGGGATGGAAGGAGGAGTCGAGATCTCAGGGTCCTGCAGAGCGACAGGGAGTAGCTCACCCTGAGTAGCTCACCCTGAGCCCTGTGGGGAAGAAGGGGCAGGGGAGGGAGTTTTGGCCTCACTTCCCCTTTGTCTGTGTCACTGTGGCTTAACTGTTTTGCCTACCAATATAATTGCCTGTGCCACAGTAATACTCAGCCTCGTCCTCAGGCTGGATGTTGGAGATGGTCAAGTAGCGGTCAGCCCCTGAGCTGGAGCCTGAGAAGCGATCGGGGATCCCCTGCTCCTTTACGATGCTTCCATCACTCTTCACATAAATCACATTCCGTGGGGCCCTCTCTGGCAGCTTTTGAAACCATTGAATGATGTAGGAGCGCTGCTCCCTGCTCAGGGTGCAGGTCAGCTTGACCGAGGCTCCCAGGGAGGCAGATGCAGAAGGGGCCTGGGTCAGCACAGGCACAGCACAGAGACCTGGAACAGAAGATTCAAGAATCATGGTGAGTGAGATTGGACAGATGCCCCTCGTGATTGTGTATTTGCAGGATATACGAGAGAGGGGACCCCTGAGTGTCTGGGCTGCTCTGACCTGAGGAGACCATGAGGGGCAGGAGGTAGAAGGACACCCAGGCCATGGTGGAGGCTTCCAGGAGCTCTGGCCTGAGGCTGCCCAGCTGCACTGGCCTCTCCAGGCTCCTGTCTTATCCTCCCTGCCTGCAGCTCCAGGAGGCGGGGCAGCCAATGCAAATCTCTCTCCAGTCCCCAGGGTGTGTGTCTCAGTCTTGTCTGAGCCCTGAACCTAAGGGCCTCATGCTGGTGATTTCCTGAATTTAGAAAAATGGCAGGTGTGGGTTTCGTTGTCGGAGCTGATTTTACAGCAGAAGTGTCTTCAAAGGGAACATCAGTCATGCCCAGTGCACTTGAGCACAGCCCAGTGTCTGGACTAATTAGGTCTCCAAACCAGGACCACAGCGCCCCCTGGTGCCAAGATGAATGTCATCCTGCATGTGCTGACAGTCACCAGCATGACTGCTTCTGACCCTGATGGAGACCAGGCCCTGGGTGAGCATGACATGGGCCCCTCACCAGACACTCGGAATAACCAATGACAGCCTTTGCTCCTGTGATTTTCTCAAAATGCCCAAGAAGTAATGGGTGGCCAGAATTGCCACCTCAGAGCCCATTGTTCGCTCTCCTGCCCTCCCCGCACTGGGCATGTAGTTTTCCTCCTTGCCTCATCCCAGGCCTTCTGGGCCCTCCTGTCAGGGTCCCACTTCTGTATTCAGGTGTCTGACCTCCCATGTCTATGCAGTGAACACTCAGCTGCTCACGGGGCTGGAATCTGATTCCCAGTTAAGTCTGAGTCTGTCTGTGGCCAGAGGTGGGGACCCTCCTTCTGCTCCCTCCATGGTAGAAAACAGATTCTGTGTGGGTTGGACATGGGGACCTGAGACCTTGGTCAGGCTCCATGTTTCTGGTTCCTTTCCTGATATTTTAGGTTGAGGATCCTTTTCCAACTAGGTCAAAGGCATGGTTGTGGGACAACTGTCAGGTAGGCACAGGAGCCGATTTTTTCTAAGGTATAGTGTTGACATGTGTGCTTTCCCTAATATCCCTAACAAATGTATTTGTCCTCAGGCTCCTGCTGCTGAAAATATACAATGTGACTCACTGACACATGCTGAAACGCTGCACCTGGACCCCCTGAGAGGCCCCTGTGCCCCTGGGCATAGACACCCCTGACACGCTGCCCCTCCCAGTTGTGTGTGAAGAGGTGACTGAGACTGGACAGGGCCACAGCCTCAGGCCCGTCCATCCTGCTCCCAGCCGAGCACCCCACACAGCCCCCCATGATGCCTCCTCCCCTCCAATGTCCCTCAGAGTCTCAAGGGCCTGCTGGCTCCTCAGGGCCAGTCCTCACACCTTTGCTTATGGGTCTCAGTGCAGCGTGGGGCCAGTTGTTAGCACAGTCCTGGGAGATCGGACTTTCCTAAAAGCTTGGAAACTGCTAAGTTCTCTCTGTGGAGAACGACAGGTCATCGACTTCAGTAACATTTCCTGATGATCAGCCACCATCTAGATCGATTCCAAAATATAACTTTGTGATTGTTCATGAGATTTATGAAAATGACTTTCTCTTGAAAGGGATCCTTATATCACATTATGAGTAATTTACAAGGACACCTAAGGGATTGTTTCCCTAATACAAATCCACATGCCTCATACAGGCCAATTATGTTCCCACATGGGAATGCTGGGACAGAGAATCTGCTGTGGGCTCAGTCCCTTTTCTAGTTCTGACTTGAGTAATTTGCACGTTACTCCATGCCTCAGCTTCCCCATCTGTGAAATGGGTGAAATGAGAGCAATTATTTTTGGGATTGCTACTGAAGGATTTAATAAGTATGAATTGTTTTCAATGGTTAGACATGTGTTAAGAACATAGAAATTTTTTCTTCCTCCTCTATTAAAATTCTTATCCTCATATTGTTACAGGGCAGGGAGAGGGGCAGCCCAAACCCTGCAAACCTGCCTATTCTACATGGGTTCTGCCATCCGCCGCATCAACACAAAACATATGAGACTTTAATGGGAAGGAACTTTAATAAAACTAGGAAACACTACAGTAAAGGCAAAGAATCTAGTTTCTAAATGAAGCACCCAAAGTTACCCGTCCCTCGTGGGTAAAAGTCCATCCAAATGGGATCGGCCCATAGCAAGGCCCCAAAGCCTGCCACAAGTCTAAAGCATCTTCCAGTGGGGACCCACAGAAAAGGGTCACAAACAACCGGACAAGTCCGGAAGGAAAAGAGCAAAATCAACATCAAGATAAAAGCTGCCGAAAAAAGAGGACCAGAAGGGAGGGAAGCGCAGAACCCTGCTCCCCTCCCCCGCCCACAGAGGCGGCACTCTCCCACCGGCAGAGAGGAGGAAAACAACAAACTAAAACGACCCACAAGAACAAAGGGCGCAGCAAGCGGGACTGTGAGTGGAAAGGAACTATTGCAGCCACCACACCCCGTGAACGGGAGCTGTGGAGAACCCTGCAGGATCCGCCGCGGAGCTCCAGGCGCCATTGAAGAGAGACCCCGCCCAGGAGGAGCCCAGCACCAGCACACAGCCCCGGCCGCCCGGTAAGCCTGCGCGGAAAGCGGCGCGCTGGAAAAACAGGCGCGGATCGCGGTCAGGATTGCGCGGAAAGCGGCGCGGATAGCGCTGAAAAGCAGTGCGGCGGTGGCGCAGCGGTTGAGCGCTGGGTTGCGAAACTGCGCGCGGCCTCTGCGGCGCCGGTTCGATCCCCGGCTGCTCCCCGGCCACCGGAGGAGGATCCCACATGGCGTGCAGACCTCTCCTGCCGCCCGCTGCTCCCCTCAGCAGTGTACTTCGTTCCTTCTGCCTGCTCTGCTCCCCGCTCTGGCTCTGGTGAATTCTCTCACCCTCCCTCCCGCACTTCGGACTGTACCCAGTGCATGTATAAACAAAACAAACAAACAAACCAGCAAACAAATAAATAAAGCATGCCTCTATAAAAAAAAAAAAAAAAAAAAAAAAAAAAAAAGAAAAGCAATCGCGGATCCAGATCGGATCGCAGCTGCCCAGGTCCCCGCGCCTGCGACCTAGGCTTGCGGGGAGACCGTGGAGGCCCTCCCTGAGTGAGCAGGAACCAGGCTCCCAGGCACGGGAGCGGGATTCAAAAGGCGCCATTCCCGCGCCACTGATCTGGGCTACAGCCCGCGTCCTGGAACTGAGGGCTTTGGAACTGAGACCCGGGGCACGAAATTAGGGGCGTGGGTTCCCCACGACGGTTGGGCACAAGGCAGACACAGCACCCCAAAGCCGTTGAGGTGTACCCTACCATCCCCGCTCTGCTCCCTGTCCCACGGGGTGGAAAATCAGCTCCCCAAGGGCTCTAGGAGAGATCTCTGGCGCCACCTAGCGTCTTGAAGCCAGCACAGGCTCCTGAAGGAGCTAGTGGCCAGCTGGGGAGTTAGCCCACGCCAGGCCCCTTCCGAACAAGTAGTCTGAGCCCACAGGGAGAGCGAGCACCCACAGCCGGGGCAGACCAAGCGCGCAGAAGAGTGTGCCTGAGATCTGACGTGCAGGGAGTGTGTCCCACATCACCATTATAGAATAGGGACATTTCTTCAGTAAAGACTACCTGCAGAAGGCTTCCTCAGGAGCCAGAGGTGAGCGGGGGAAGTTCGCCCATGCCAGACCCCCTCTGGCCTGCAGTCCAAGCCCAGAGGGGGAGCAGGAACCCACCGCCGGGGCAGACCAGGCGCACAGGGGAGTGTGTCCCCACATCGGAATTTTAGAACAGGGACCTTTCTCCAGTAAAGACTGCTTGAAACTGACAGATGACTCCTGGAGGAACCAGAGGGGAGCAGAGAAGCCCACCCAAGATGCCGGCCAGTCCCAACAACACAGTGTCCCAACGCATACGGCAAATTAGAAAACAGACAGTAGGGCGGAGAAGAACCACACGCAACCTAGCAACTCTCCAGAGAAAAAGCACACCACAAAAAGAAAACCAGCCCCCAGATTGCAACGACAGTAACTTGGAAGAACTTCTGAGCCTTCCAGAAAGAGAATTTAAAATTGCCGTGATTAAAAAACTGACAGAAGTCATAAAGGAAAACAATGATAAGGGAAAAATAATCAACGATCAGAAGAATGAAATTGAGTCCCTAACGAGGGAAGTAAAAGAAATGCAGGAGACCAAAGAATTAATGGAAGAACTAAAGAATTCTGGGAAAAGCAATGAAAGCAGAATTGATGAAATGGAAGAACGAATAAGTACTCTTGAAGACACAGAAATAAAAGAACCAAAACAGAAAAGGAAAGAGAAGTACGAAGGAAAAAGAATGAAGAAAGACTTCGGGAACTATCTGACTCTATGAGGAAAGGAAATATAAGAGTTATAGGAATACCAGAAGGAGAGGAGAGAGATGTAGGAACAGAGAAAATATTCAAAGAGATAATTGAAGAGAACTTCCCAAATGTGAAGGAGGAGCTGAAAATTGATATACAAGAAGCAAGAAGAACACCAAACTTCCACGACGAAAGGAAAAATACAGCAAGACACATAATAGTAAAGCTCCCAAGAATCCAGGACAAGGAAAAAATAATGAAGCTGGCAAGAGGGAAGAAACAGATAACATTCAAAGGAAAACCAATCAGGGTGACATCAGACTTCTCCGAAGAAAACACTACGGGCAAGGAGAGAGTGGAGGGATATAGTCAACAGACTCCAAGAAAACAGATGCCAACCAAGAATACTCTATCCCGCAAAGCTCTCCTTCCTTTGAAGAAAGAATATGGACTTTCCCAGACAAACAGAAACTCCGGAATTCATTGCAACTAAACCCCCACTCCAAAAAATACTACAAGGAGTCCTAAAGCCAGAACCTCAGAGGGACGAATAACAATGAAAGAAGGCCAAAAAAAAAAGTTATTAAAAGAATAAATAAATAAAATCAAAGGAAAGACAAACACAATGGCAAATACAGATGTTAACATATCAATATTAACTCTAAATGTAAATGGACTAAACTCTTCAATAAAAAGACATAGAGTTGCAGCCTGGATTAAGAAACAAAACCCAACCTTTTGCTGTCTCCAGGAAACACATTTA